AGGTAACTCGTGAACCAGGACAGAACAGTGCCCCCAATGCCATGTTGATGAAGTACTGTGATGAGACGCTGATGTTGTACTCTGTCAAAGGCTTTTGACATGTCCACCATAATCACACCAGTATGCTGGCGCTGAGATCGTGCCAAGAGCCCGCGATTCACTGCAAGAACCAGAGCGTCTTCCGTTGAGTGGGACTTGCGGTAGGCAAACTGGGATGCCGGTAGCAGGTGGTGGTCCTGGAGATGGGCCATGATCTGCTTCTTGACACAGTGCTCTAGAAGACGAGACACAGTGGGCAGCAAAGAGACTGGCCGATAGTTTCCTGCGACTGCAGTGTCCCCGCTCTTGAACAAAGGGCTAACATATGACAGTATGAAGCATGCGGGTACAGTACCACTTGAGAGCAACATATTAATGATTCCAGCGAGATGAGGAGCAAGAACACTGGCACAGCACTGCAAAACAATACCAGGAATGCAGTCACCGCCACTAGCTTTGTGCGGGTTGACACAGGCCAGACATTGCTCAACGTCTTGCACACTGACAGGTTGAAAGGACGTCAAAGCTGATTGTTGTAAGGGGCCATGGGGCTCCTGAAGTGCAGCTGGTCGGGCTGGATCATGCACAATCTCACCGAAGAAAGCACTCAGGGTTTTGATGGGCGCCTCTGGAGTCTGCCGCTGTGTCTTCCGGCCGGTAACATTGTTCATAATGGCCCATAGCTGTCGCTGATTGGATGTGGCACACTGGCGGATGAAATAGGAGTTCCGGAGAAAAATTGCGACATGCATAGGAAGAAAATAACGGAAAGAGCAGTGCATACAGCATTTGTAAAGGGGCTTATTTATCTGGTAAGCAAAAAGGCAAGAGCCATTGACTTAAAGCGATTGCGTTTTCTTTCTTGCCTGACCTCAGCAGGGAGCTGGTTCCATAAGATGGTCCCAGCATAGGTAACACGTTTGGCAAGATATGCAGTTGGGCTGGCTGGGACAATCAGTAAATTGCTGTGCCCACCACGAGTTTGAGTGGAATTACTGATGCTGAAAAAGTTAGCGAACAACATGCTGATGCTAGAGGAGTCATGGAGACAACGCCAGATAAAAACCAGAAGGTGCATGTTGGCGAGTGTGGTCAATGTTTGGATGTTCATGCATGTAAGAATATTGCTTGTGGGTGTCCCGGGAAGTACCCGACAGACTGTGCGTACAGCACGCTTGAAGAGCCCATTAAGCCGTCGACTTTGATATGCCGTGAGAAATGGTAAGTAAGCAGAAGCGGCATACATAAAGTGTGATAAAATGAAAGAACGAAAATAAGCTATGGGACATTGAAAAGGCAGGAATGTAGCGTATCGTCTGAGCACGCTAACTTTTGACGCGACGCCCCATGCGACGTGGTCGACCATGGTGTTCCAGGTCATGTACGCATCAAAGTGGAGACCTAAATATATCGCAGAGCAAACAGTTGGCGGAGGCAGTCCATTACATTGCACTTGCAAGTCAAATGTTTGAGATCGTACTGGCGATATCGGCATGATCTGTGTCTTCGTTTCATTCAAGATGATACCGCGGTTCCTGAGCCAATCGGCGAGGTGCTGGACAGCCCTTGAGAGATTTTGGGACACCTCATCCATGCTCGTGCTGCTGGATCTAATTGAGATATCTTCCGCAAATTTCAGGGTCGCAACTTTGTAAGGGGACAGCTCTTTCGCATTGTCACGGAAGTAGAGAACAAACAACAGGGGCCCAAGAACTGACCCCTGTGGTACTCCGGAGAAGCTGGTGTATGGTGAGCTCTGTACCTGACCGACTTTGACATACTGTGTCCGATCTGAGAGGTAGTCTGCAAGCCATTGCAGCACCGTTCCACCAATTCCGACCTCGAATAGGTCCTGAATAAGGGTTTGGTGCTTCACCTTATCAGATGCTTTTGACATATCTACGAAAGCAATCCCCGTGAAGTACTTTTTAGTCTGGGCTTGGCATATGCCCTCAACGGCCAATACAAGGGCATTACATGTGGAATGATGTGAAAGATAGCCGAACTGAGTTGGTGGAAATAGATCAAGTCGGCACAAGTACTGAGTAAGCTGATCATGGATGACTTGTTCCAAAAGCTTTGAAACTATCGACATTAGAGACACAGGTCTGTGATTCTTTGCTATGCTGGGATCTCCACCTTTAAACAGAGGTGAAATACTACCCATCTTCATAGGAGCTGGGAAATGTCCCTCCCTCATGGATTTGTTGAACAGTAAGGCCAATGACGGCGCAAGAACATCTACATTTCCCGAGGAAGGGCTGCAGGGATGCCGTCACTGCCAGTTGCCTTCGTCAGATTCTGTTGCTCTAGAAGCCTCCGGACTTTTGCAACAGATGCAGGTACTAATTCCGCAAAACAAGTTGCCATTCGCGGCCCTTGGGGTAGGTGAAGATGAACTGGGCGGCTGGGATCATCCACGATCTCGGTGAAAGCACTTCGAATTGCCTCAGCTGAGCACTGAAGCGGTGCCGATTTTCTTTGTTTCCCCATCAGCTGGTTGAGGATTTGCCAGGTTTGTTTTACATTACAAGTTGCAAGCAGAAATTTTGTACTGTAGTACGCTTCTTTCAGCTTCCGGTTACAGGTAGTGGCCTCCCTTCTTGCCACTTTGAATGTGTCGTACATTTGCTCAGATCTGTCTGACAGCCACTTTCTATGAAGCCGGTTGTGCTTACTCAAAGGTGCAAAGCTGGCTGTCCATCCAATGGTACCGATCGTCTCTTGTGTTGCTTACAAGATCTAAGAGAGGCATGAGTATCAAGCACCTGCAGGAAGCGATTATTCCACTCCGTCCACATGTCTGTTGGGCTGCCTTCGATGCTGCAAATATTCTGCTGAATCAAGTCAGCTTTGAAGCGTTCGTGATTTATCCGGCGGTAGTTCCGGCACACCATTGATGTCTCTGGACTCCTTGTCGGGTCAAGGTAGAATTCACTTATGACTGCTGCATGGTCGCTGAAAGCCATGGGATGGATCGTTGCCACATTGTGCTGGTCAAACGTATTGAAGAACAGATCCAATGTGGTGGCTATGGAATTAGATGCAAACCGTGTCCGCTGATGAACGCCCTAGATCAGACAGGAAATGGAGCTGGTGATCTGGAGCAGTTGATGGATCCACATTCACATTTAAGTCACCGCACAGTATAACGTTCCTGCCCGGAGTGATAGCTGAGTGTAGAAGACCATCAAGGCGATCCTAGTAGCCAATAGGTTCAGAGGGAGGACGATAGATTGTGCCTAGCAAGCAATTCCTACCGGTGCAGGGAATCTCGCCCCGACAACTCTCAACCCCAGCAGCAGCTATATTGCATCTCGGCTTGAGAGGCAAGGATGTTCGGGAATATAAGCAGACACCTCCACCAAGCTGATCCTCTCGATCAGCACGCAAAACGTTGTAACCTGCCAAAGTGATTTCTCCTTCAGTAATCATACTATCCAGCCATGTCTCGTTCACACAGACAATATCAGGACAATGCTGGCGGGTGAGTTGTGCTAGGTCATTAATCTTGTAACGAAGGTTCCTGATGTTCATCAGTAGAACTTTCAGCTTAGCGTCACCACTCAGTCCTCCCCCGTCTCTGAATGGTGCTTTCGGATGGCGCAATTTACCCGGAAAGAAAGTTGGAGCCTGCGCATTCAGTTTCGAGGTGTTCATTGCGCCTCTGCCTGGTCGGAGTCGAAGCGCCAGTCACGGAGAGTGTATGCAACTGTTTCTAGCCAGAAAGACTTTTCACTCACTTTGTTCACGTCCTGAGCGTCAACTGTTATTCTCACGGAGGCCGTTCTGAAGTATTCAGAAGAGTATAATATTGCACATCTCCACATCCCGATCTCTGCACCATTCAGCGATGGACTGTGCCTGGCAGCCATATGAGATTTGCCCCTGGTAGAGAACTTTCCGCGGGCCTCCAGGGACGGTGTCTAACGAAGGTGTCAGGTTGCTATCGGATGTACATTCCCGGATGTAACGTGAAGACTCGTGGCGGCGGATGGGATTTGTCTGCGCTTTGCGACTGCCAATCTGCCGTTCCGCATGGGCTTGTAGCGTTCTCTTTCCCGGAAGGTTCTGATGCTAACTGCCTCTAAAAGAGACGACGCTCCTCCCAGGACATGACATCCTCGAAGGGCGCCTGATCAACCGATATGTCCATTGGAAGGTCAATAGGGGCAGTGTCTCTAGATATGGCCTGTGGATACAACTCCTTGGGTTGATTCCTAGCAACGTCTTCAAGCATTGATCCTTCACCTCCGGATGTGGCATGTAGGTCTCTTTGTGCTCTTTCAATCTTCGAATAGCTCGCCAGGGGAGCAGTCATCGGCGGCCGGGCATGCTTGTGCTTTTTCCCGCCACTGGCCCTCTCCAAGTTGCCTACGCTGTCAGAGAGAGATGCCAGTTCCCGCTTCACAATCGCTTCAACCTCTAGTAAGGGGATACCCTTCTCCTCTGCAGCCGTGATCTCCCGCCCCCGGTTGTCTCTCATTGCTGCCAACTCGTCACTGATGCTAACGACAATCCGCATCATCACACCCAAGCGCTCAACGACTCCAGCAGCTGATGGGTTTAACACACCCACACCAGCCTCACAAAGTTTCCCTCGGGTTGTTTTGGGTAGTCCTCAATGGATTAATAGAGAGGTACCGCACTACGTAAAGTTGAGCGAGAAAAACCCGTGAATTCGCGAGTTTGCACTCCACTTACGAAAAGTTGTCTACGGGAGTTCGTAGATAGGGCTCTGATAACATAGCTGGTCAGTAAGTGGATTGGGGTACAAATTTATGACTCTCTCTCTCGATCTGGTCGTACACTGCCGCGTTCGGAGTTGCCAAGGGCAGCTACATGATTTGAAAACTCCGTATGGCGGAACCCAGATGCGCATGCAGTTTACGTAAGACTTTCCATAGATCGACTACGTTTTTTACTAACGTAATTACGTTCTGCGGAACCTCTCTAATAAAAGGGAGGTTTCGCTCTACGTAATAACGTATGAAAATCCGTATGTGATATGCCCCGGGATCGAGGGCAACTTTCATACGTAAATCTCTCTACTGATTTCCGTAGGAAAGCCGTTTCCTACTTTGGGTCCTACGTAGGACTTTTTGAAATATTTTTCGCACTCTCCGGATTTATCGATGGCAACATTCAAGCCGCGCGAAACACAAGATACACACCGCGTGGAAAACAAAATGGAGAACGCGGTTTCGGTTTGTGGTGCATGCGGCGGGCGCATGCAGCCAACCCGTCTCCAAAGCAACAAGGCATGCTTAGCAGTCGTGGAGAAATCACGTAGAGCGAAACCCTGCAGCGCTGATTTTTACGTATGAAATGACGTGCAGTTCCTACTTCGAAGTACGTTGCTTTCATACGTAATTCTGTGGAGGGAAACCTCCCTAGTGAAAATAATAATAATAATGTCACAGCTTCACGTACTGACTTGGTGTACAATCATTGCATGCACGTAAAATAGTTTGTGGGCAAGTGTTACACTTCTGTTACCTTCCAATGCTCAAGCGTTACACTTCTGTTACCTTCCAATGCTCAAGTGTTACACTTCTGTTACCTTCCAATGCTCAAGTGTTACACTTCTGTTACCTTCCAATACTCAAGTGTTACACTTCTGTTACCTTCCAATGCTCAAGTGTTACACTTCTGTTCCCTTCCAATACTCAAGTGTTACACTTCTGTTACCTACCAATGCTCAAGTGGTACACTTCTTTTACCTTCCAATACGCAAGTGTTACACTTCTGTTACCTTCCAATGCTCAAGTGTTACACTTCTGTTACCTTCCAATACTTAGGTATACATTTTGTAGCGGCCATCCGTAAATATCGATATTCTTTTCAAGACGATATTTGCTCATATTTCCCCGGACCCCCTCCGTCCCCACTCAAAATGAACATGCACACATTTATGCAGGGTATCAATAGTTTTTAACGAAGTGTTATGTCCTTGCGAAATGTGACCAACGGGAACTCCGAATTCACCATGCACCTCGGTTTACATTGCCACAGTCTCTCAACCTTGCCATGGCGGTATTCTTGGGATTGACTTTCACTTTGTGTAGGTCATCAACTGCATGTTTGCACAGTGCTCGACAAAAGTAAGAGATTGATATTTTTTTCAAAAGAACCAGGCAAACAGGGACCAAATCCCCTATTCCCCCCCCCCCCCCCAAACGAATGAATATCTTCTCTAAAAAAATATCGATATTTGTGAACAACCCTAACGACTCTTCTATTCATTCTTTGTGATTATGCTGCGCCAAGTGTCATTCTCCTTATGCCACCACCCTCCATCGACGTCGATCCTGCGCTGCCTTTCGTAGATCCATCAATTACTGTTCTGTTTTAACTGTCAATATCAATGGTAACCGTGAATGTTTTTTCAATGTCAGTGCATGGTGCTGCTGGGCATCCCGTGCGACTGTGGCTGTGATTGAACATCCTCAATGTCAGTGCATGGTGCTGCTGGGCATCCCGTGCGACTGTGGCTGTAATTGAACATCCTCAATGTCAGTGCATGGTGCTGCTGGGCATCCCGTGCGACTATGGCTGTGATTGAACATCCTCAATGTCAGTGCATGGTGCTGCTGGGCATCCCGTGCGACTGTGGCTGTGATTGAACATCCTCCATGTCAGTGCATGGTGCTGCTGGGCATTCTGTGCGACTGTGGCTGTGATTGAACATCCTCATCAGCAAAGTGTTCAATATATCTGAAGCAACGCTACAGCGACCCATGGAATGCATAACTAACTCCTCTCCTTGATTAAGAGCATATTTGCCTCTTATTGTAGGTGATCTACTCTTTTCTTTCTTTCTTATGCACAGGCAATATTCCCATTTACACCCAAGGCAATTGCGATCCAGGCTGGGTATGGTTCCGTAACCGCTGCTATTATTTCTCCCAGGACAAGGTGGACTTCCCCACCGCGCAGGGCAAGTGCGGTGTATTTAACGCCCGGCTTGGCGTCATCAACACGCAAGCCAAGAACAACTTTGTTGTGGACTACATGATCGGCAACTGGTCCGACTTCACTGGCGAACGCTTCTGGATTGGCCTTCACCGGCAGGCCAAACAAACCGATCCATTCACTTGGGTTAACAGAACTGAGCCAGTTGTCTTCACCAACTACAACTGTGGTGAGCCTAATAATGCTGGTGGCAAAGAGGGCTGCATAGAGTTTGTTATCTCAAACGATTTTTCCAACTCAGCCAGCTGGAACGATGTGGAGTGTACTAGTTCAGCTCATTACATCTGCGACAAGGTTGCACCACCGCCAACAACCATGCCAAGTGAGTATAGAATATGCTGCTAGGACTACTAATGCTGTATTGGGAAAGCTGCGCGCAAAGTGCTTGTGAACCGACTTTTGCACCGTGTGTGCACATGCATTTCTACGTGCATGATCCTGCAAGCATTTGACTCCCGAGACATTTTCTCTGGTCCGGTAGCGCATTGAAGACTCACAGAAGCAGAGTTACATGTATTACATCATTACATGTATCATGTATCATGTATCATGTATATGTTCCACACAATCTGAGAATTTGCACAATCTGAGAATTTGCGCAATCTGCAGATTGCACAGGCAATCTGCGGTGACACGAACATATTTGCGGTATGAGACCAGGCACGGTAAATCAGCATGCATGACCCTCTGCGAGACGTCTGGGAGCACAAGCGGTACCCAAGTACGTGTGGTGCACAATTCACATGCGTCCCCCCCCCCCCCTTGCAATCTGTGGATTTCTCTCAAAACCTGAAGGGCACAGCGAATTCATGTGGAGCGCAGTCTGCGGGTGCAATCTTTGAGTTTCGTTGAAAATCATGAAGACCAAAGTGAATCTGTGTGGCGGCAATCTGTGGCCCGATTTCACTGAAATCGGATTCGCTGTGCTCTTCATGGTTTTCCAAAGAAATTCACAGATTGCGCACAGATTGTGTCCCCCACGGATCCTCTATGCTCCTCGTTGTTTTTCAGGGAACTCGGGCTCAGGTTGCGTCCCACACGGATTCGCTGTGCTCTCCATGATTTCCAATGAAATCCACAGAAATCCCCCACATGGATTCGCTGTGCTCTTCATGATTTTTCAACGAAATCCACAGATTGCACTCGCAGACTGCGCCCGACATGAATTCGCTGTGATGTTCAGGTTTGAGAGAAATACAGAGATTACACCGACCACACACTGGAATTTTGTACCCCACATACTTGGTTGTGCTCCCAGAAGTCTCGCAGAAGCTCAGGTACACGGTTCCACCGTGCCTGGTCTGCGCAATCTGGGAATTCTCAGATTGCGTAAATTCTCAGATTGCGCTGAACTGCCTGCGAAATCTGCAGATTTGGGAGGCAATCTGGAATTCTCAGAGATTGCGCGGATCATATACATCTGTGACTCGTGTCGTCCGAACTGCTATATTTTGAGGAGTGTAAGCCGCACTTTAAACGTCACTAATTCAGCCAAAAAAACCGGTGTGGTTTATACTACGGTTGTCAAATTAACAATGTTAAAAAAAGAGGTAGATATCTGTCTTTCGTGGCAAAAATCAGGGGTGGCTTATACTCCAGAAAATATGGTATGTGTGTATGGACAACTCAGGACAAGTATGGCGCCAGTCCATCATATTCTAAAGGTATGCGAAACATCCATCTGTCCTACTTGTTGTTATTATAAGATTGCTCTGCACCATGATGTTCTTGTTAACAGTTTCTTTTTCTGTGTGTGTGTGTGTGTGTTCAGCCACAATACCACCAACCACTACTGTTCCTACCACCACACCCCGACCGACTACGACAGCCATGCCAACAACTAGAGCCCCGACCACCTTCCCGGGCACCACAACGCCACCAACTGAAGAACCCACATCCTTCGGAAGTAAGCCCAAATCGGGACTCTATTCTTGTTGTGGACGTTGCTGCTATCATCTTTACATGAGCCACCATACCAGAACTGCACTCTCCGGCAGACCTCAACATATCATGCATGGTCATTCGTAGAGCGCAGCTGTGTTCTGGTGCTTTATTCGAGATAATCTCTTCAAGGCCGAATGCTGCTGCTGATCCATCTTGATCATATTTTGATGATGTTTTAGCGCATTACACATAGCTAAGTTGCAGAAAGAGGGGCAACAACGCGAACGCCAAGCAAAAGTAAAACAATGGGTGCATCTGAGCTACATTAGCTGTGCTGGTGAGGTGCTGTGTGCTCCCCTGACCACATGTCCCGGGATCAACATACAGGCCGGGGTGGAGTGAATTGTCTTGTGTATAGCTATGTCCAGTGTTTTCAGGATTTGATGATTTCCTCTTCTTTGCATTCAAACAAAGCCGATTTTCAAAATGTTGTTTGGAGGAAAAGAACAACAGAAGCCACTGGAAATTTTAACTATGCATTTTGCATCACTGGAGCGGGGAGGGTGCGCACCTGGGGGAGATGGAACAAATTTATAGTACTTGTCACTTCAAACAACAAGCATTTCCTTGCAGGAACCGCTTAAATTTCACGAGCAGCAGGTTTGGCAGATGGCCATCCGGTTTTCCACTACTGATGCCCTCCAGCTGTTTTACTTGGTTCTGAGTAAGAATGGTGCTTTCGAAGATGCTCTTCAAGGTTGCGCTGCCCCAAAGGAACATTTCCTTCCGAGAGAATGGCTTCATACACACACAAGACAAAAAATGAAAAGGTAACCGGTTGGGTTGTTAAACATAATGCAATAAACAGCTTCTTTCATGTACTGTAAAACCGGAAATGAGTCACAAAGTCTAACGTTTTATCGACCATCTTTTTTCGTCACTCAAGTGTCAAGTCAAGTCGGCGGAATAGCGCGAGCTCCAGTGTGGGAGCAAACCCATTCCAATTTTTTCGTTATTTGAAGAAACGTTATCGCGAACCCGGTTTGACATGTCTGTGTAAAGATGCGCATACAGATGGGTGGCCAGGGAGCCATCGTTAAGCTTTCTGCATGTTACCATGCCAAAATTATAGAAACGGTCAACTTTTTGGTCGTTAAGCGTTCCGGTTTTACAGCACTGCATGTATTGTCAACGCATCATATCCTTCAGACCTGTAACTAAAGACCACCGTGACTAGCGACCAACCTGGTACTATAGATCACTTTGCCAGGCACGGACAGTCTCACATTCATGTAGCGGGTGTGCGGTGTAAACCTCTAACTAAGGACCACCTGCCACTAAAGACCGCTTTCTCTGGCCCCAAGCCGGGGTGGTCGTTAGTCACAGGTTTTCACTGTACATGTACATGGATGTGACTATTTTGTGTTTGCATTGTGTTCTTTTCAGAGCCTGGTATTGCTAGGAGTTTCGCAGCGAAGGTGTTTGCAAACAGCACAATCCGTCTTAGCTGGAATGGTCTAGATGTTGGCACTGGAAACCTATCTGAGATTGTATTGCAGTACAGAAAACAGCAGCACAAGCGCTGGGCGCCGTTGTTCTCACTATTCCCAACTGCCACAAGTTGGGCAAGTTACACAGATCATGCGATTGACGTGTCGAACATAATGGACCCAGGCACCTATACATTTCGACTTGCGGCTCACAACAACCACGGCCGAGGCAAGATGACCGAGTCAAATCCAGTCGCAATATGTAAGTTTCATCAATCTAAACAAAAACGCTAGAATGGAAGAGTATGAAGATCAGTGTGTGTGAGGGCTCAACGAAGTGATTATGCGGAGCGGATTGTATTACAGCGGATTGTATTACAGCGGATTGTATTATAGCGGATTGTATTATAGCGGATTGTATTACAGCGGATTGTATTACAGCGGATTGTATTACAGCGGGTTGTATTACAGCGGATTGTATTACAGCGGATTGTATTATAGCGGATTGTATTACAGCGGATTGTATTACAGCGGATTGTATTACAGCGGATTGTATTACAGCGGATTGTATTACAGCGGATTGTATTATAGCGGATTGTATTACAGCGGATTGTATTACAGCGGATTGTATTACAGCGGATTGTATTACAGCGGATTGTATTACAGCGGATTGTATTATAGCGGATTGTATTATAGCGGATTGTATTACAGCAGATTGTATTACAGCGGATTGTATTACAGCGGATTGTATAACAGCGGATTGAATTACAGCGGATTGTATTATAGCGGATTGTATTTCTATAGCACATGAAGCCAGTGGGATGGTCTAATCCTAAACGGGAAGTCCGGTGAAAAATTTGTCCGTAGAGTTTGGGGCGATGAGTCGAATGGTGTCAGTCCTACGTGTTTCCGACAAAGCGTTCTTGAAATATTTCAGATTGAAAACTGACTTTCGGGGGGAGCTGTGCCATGACGTCATGCAGCCACGACACACCCTCTGCAAAGTCATAGCATCAGGCAGCTAGAAAATTGTCAGACAAAGTTTTCAAATTTTTCATTGATTTTTGATTCCAAGAAGACGAAAGGTCCACGCGTGCACGATCGTTGTTGTTTCTTTCCGAATTTGAAGCCTTTTTCAGTTATAGTGTCATGGATCAGGCAAGAAAAGTCCGCATCGCACCTGTGTTTCTCCGACTTCATACTGGTTGTCCTTTTTGGGGCTCTGGACGACAACACAACACTCACAAGTCAACAGGCTCCAGTTGGCCGATGACCCACTCAAACAACTGGTCCTTTCTCAACATCATTTTCTTCTCAGAAAACGCCTCACTCTTCCGCCAGGTTCGGAGCAGAGCAGCCTCGGCCTCGTAAGTCCACGGACTCATCTCGAAAAAAAAGGGAACAAAACAAACCTTGGAGAGCCGAATGTGGAATGACTGCTCAACTCAAGCAACTGTCTTGAAACTGATTTTACTTGAAAGACACTGTTTTTCCGCCAAGCGTCACTCCCTCCAGCGGCAACGCAGCCGATTTCCCCACGTCAGACGCAGCAGCGTAGCAGCAGCGTCTGACGCTCAAACTTCCCGCGTTGCATCAGTTCAAAAAGCTCATGATTCTGACGCTGACGCAGCATTTTTGCCGTAGTGTCAAGGCCTCGGTCACACTACGGCAAGTTTGAAGCTGGACGCAGCGTCAAGTCGCAGCACTTGACGCAGACGCGGGGTCACACAGTGTTTTGTTTGTTTTGTTAGTTGTCAGTTGTTAGTTGTCAGTTCTCTCATCGGCACTTGAAGTTCAATACAGAAAATCTCTCTCTCGGTATCGAGAAACAACTATTTTCCTAGTCTTTTGTTGTGTGGCGTGGCGAGAGCGTAGAGAATTAGTTCGTCCATCGGGCAAGACGACACAAATTCCTTGCAATTGCAGTCCTTGAGAACTATAACATAACTATAACAAAGTCGTTGATTACTTTAAGTTTCGGGCATTCATTCAAGAAACATCAAACAAACACGCTTGAAAATGGAACAAAATTCAAGCATAACGACAGAACAGCAGAAGAATGGAACGAGTGAAAATTTCCTTACCTCAGTCATCGTCCTGCCATATACTTGGACAGCCTTTTGACACGGTGGTGCAGGCAGCTCTTGTCCAGTCTAACATGGTATCCTTGTGGCGTGGAACGAAAGAGAGTGTCAGTGTATCTGACTCGTCACATTGGAACTGTGCTGAACTTTTCTCGTTCTCCTCTTTATTATTATTATTATTACACCTTCCAGTGGCTAAAGATGAATCAGTGCCAATATAGATGAGGAGGGGGGGGGGGGCGTTTGCCAGCCATGGCATAGAGAAAAAGTATAAGAAGTGTGGTGGTGCACCAATACCATGGTAAATAACAGAGGAAAGGGAGCAGTACAGCCGACGTGAGACGACCGAGACTAAACAGGTATATCGACTATTGAATGGGAATGTTGAAATGCTGCTTTGCAAGATTGCGAAACGAGGGAAGCGACTTCGCCGGACGGACATGAAGGGGCAACGCCAGCCATTTAGTATAAGAGCTGAAAAAGGGGGAAGATACAAACAGAGATGTGGTAGCTCGGGGGAGACGGACTTTACTACGTGTGGGGGAGTTCGAAATAAACCAATTAAGTTGCTGTAGGTGCGGGGGGAATATGCCAAGGTAAATTGCGTGCACAAGACAGCACATCATAACATCGAGATAACTCTGCAGGGGGCACAGGTTGCAATTTTGTACCAGTCCGAGTTAGAAATGTAGCGGCCAGTTCTAAATATCATGCGGAGGATACGGCGATTGAGAATTTCCAACCTCTCCAGTTGGGACTTCGTAATGGTAGACCAAGCAGGGTATCCATAAAGAAAGAGTGGAAGAATGTAAGATTTATAAAAACATACCCTACAACTGGTAAGTTGTAGGGTAAGTGAGAGAAATGGGACGTCATGATGCCTACAGTACGTGAAACACGGAAAAAAACGTGGTCAGTGTGGGCGGACCAAGATAGAGAAGAATCGAATACAATGCCAAGATGCTTGTGGCTAGATGTAATAGTTAATGATGAAGTAGGGGGTTCCAGCTGTCATCCCGCGCACTGCTGAAACGTCTTCAGAGAACCACAAGACCTTTTCCAGATCTGATTTTGAACGTCTCCCTATTCCTCCTTGGTTACCTCAAGACAGTTTACTGTCAGCAACTGCACAGCAGAACTGGCAGCCATGGCCAGTCAAACAGGGTATCCTTGTGGCGTCGAACGAAAGAGATTGTCAAGGTGCCTCACTCGTCAGATTTGAACTGTGGTGAACTGTTCTCATTCTCCAATTTCTGCTTTCACCCCGCACACTGACGAAACGTCTTCAGAGAACCACAAGACGCTTTCCAGATTGGATTTTGAACGTCTCCTTTTCCTCCTTGGTTACCTCGAGACAGATTACTGCCAGCAACTACACAGCAGAACTGGCAGCCATGGCTGAAGTGAAGAAAAGAATGCGCTGCCACGAGGCAAACTGAAAAGGTGTTTGTTCTCTTTCGGGCACTACACACAGGCATGACTGGATAAACTGGACTCCTGGACTGTGTATAGGGAGGGGACTTGTAGAAAAGGTGTACTCCTTATAGGGATTGTGCGGCTGGATGAAGCGAGGATCCTGCGAGGATAACAGTTACCGTGGCTGTGGCCCTCATCTAGCCTTTCTTGGTGGGTATCAAGGTATTCGATCAGCTCAGTGTCTGTCCCGGCTGTGGAGCCTGATCGGTAAAGTGCACAGATAACAATCTTGGACCGGCTAGCTGTTAATAACTTCGTGATGTTCCGTGCTGAACCGGTCCAGGTGCTGGAAGGCCATGTTTGATTTCACCCAAATGGCAACTCCGCCTCCATGAGCGTTTCTGTCATGTCGGATTGTGGGAGCGTATCCGGACAGACAGACCTCACTGTCAGTGACCTTTGCGGTTGCGAACTTTGCCTCCGTTACAGCGATGACATCAGGTGAGGAGCACCTGAACTGGCAAGCAGCCACTAATGCCCTATGAAACGGTTCAGACCAGCGCCTCACTAGCACCCTCCCTCCCTCCTTACCACAATGTGCTGTTATCTTTCACTCTGCTTCTCTCGAGACCATCTACCCATTGTCCTCGTTCCTCACTATTATTCATTTCCCCTCCTCCTCCCCTCCTCATGATTTTACTGCATTATGGCGCCGCTTTGTCTGCGTAGACGCCGAGATCTTTAAGGTCGGCAGAGGAGCCCCACCCCGCCACCACTTCTCGCACATATTCGGGAATATAGCCGACTTTCGTATAAAAAATAAATAAAATAAAAACCTCCTGTCAAACAAACATTAGCCATTAGGAAGATCGTTACTAGCAAAATCCCCAATTCGGCCGGCCGAAATATTCGCCTATAATGAGACTTATCGAAAAATCGCTAAGCTTTTCGCCGATTTTGGATAATTTCTTTGAGAATCGCCGAAAAAAATTGGCAGATTTTGCTCGAAAATCAGTGAAATTGGAAGAACCGTACAAACCTTATGGCAGGCACTTCCTTGAATTCTGCTCCATTCCTTTATCCACACACCAAACCTGCTTGAATCAAACAAGAAAATGCACTTCATTTCCAAAAATATTGAAAATATCCAAAAGACAAGCAGAGCCAAATTTTACGTATGTGTTGAGTCCGAATAAGAGACTGACAACGGGAACAAGTAGGTTGGTGGAACGACATTTATTAGAAACGGGACAAGAGACCAAGACGAACGAAACGACTACATGGTGATTATTGAAGAGGGAGATTATTGAAGAGAGCTTATTGAAGAGAGAGAGTTGAGAGAGCAGCAACACAATATATAGGGCCTGGGTCGCTATGGCAAACATGGACGCACAAGTAGCTACCCAGGCCAAATGAATAATGCATGAACTAATGAATTATATGACTCATGGGCCTAACAGTATGTAATTGTTGTCCTCTTTCCTATTTCTCTGTCCTATTTCACATGCTGTGCTCTGTTCTCTCCGATATGCTATATCGCTAGTCCCAGAACGTACCCAATGTCCAGGCGTCGGTTTCAGTGTCAGTGCATTGCCAGAAACGTATGCTCTTCCCGCTAAGGCTGTTGAGATTTGTCAGAGGAGAGATCCGCAATACGGAAGCAAACTCGTTTCGTCTCACGAGAATCGAATAGCATGCGTCAAGCAGCACTTCAACGAAATTGGAATACCAGACCGTGAATTGTTCTGGACGTCGGGGAGGCTAGCAACTGGAGAATATGTTAAGAGTACGGGTAATTGGTTTGACCAGGGCGCTCTGTACCTGGTAGTGTGCGAGTTCACCACTGTCTCTTATAGTAAGTACCCAGACATGATTTCGCGCACCTCACGTGTATGTACATGTAGTTCGTAGCACAAATTGGAACCTTTCCCACGCATTACCGTAGTTTCTGGTATTAAAGCCCATCTCGTTTTTTTTTTTTTTAAAGAGAACACAAACCTACAAATCATGTTGAAAGACGTATAGAAGCCTGCACTAATTCGCTCATCTCGCTTGGGCTTTTTGAAGTCCGAAGCTATTCAGCATAGAATGATTATGAATTTTTCGTTTATGTTCATGACGACATGTGTTTGTGTGCCATTGTATGTGGCTTTGTGTGTGTGTATCTTCTACAGAACCTACGGAGTGCAAACCAACCTGTTCAGAAATCAGCGCATTTCCACTTCAGCAGTCCACTGCCGCGGCAGCGGAAAGAGTGTGCGAATATAATCAAAGAATCTTTGGAGATCAACACTTTGACTACAGATTTGCCCACGTGGCCAGTCCTGAGAGCGAGATTTTCGGATGTGTGTCGCATCATCTACGAGTAACGGGCATGAGCAATACACTTGTCTACGGTGGATATGGTAAAGATGCCCATGGTGTACTGAAAGCTTCTAATGGGAATGTTTTGCCTCCAACAGCTAGCGTTTATGTTGTGTGCGAGTACCGCAAACGTTGCAGTAAGTCCAGGATTTCTTCCTCATCCCATTTACCCATGACGGCTTTACACATCCTCCCGACACTCCCCAAGCGGTCTCGTGGCCGCTTTACCAATCACTGAGAAAGGAGAATAGAGTAAAATCAATGGGTATGAGAACTGAGCGTTGCATATGCGTATCAGCAACAACAATGTGAGAATAAAGAAAACGGGTGACAAAACACATCACTTGATAGACATGGCAACAACCTTGTCACAATAAACCAAAGAACAGCAATATTAGGGTAATAAGACTATATTTTTGGACTCTTTTTTTTTAAAGACTGCACTGTAACAATCTGGACTAGAGACCTGTGTACTGAAGATTTACTACCGAGAAACGTATGCACCCGCTCCCGACTCCCATACACACACACACACACACTCACGATCAATACCATGATCACTCAGCCCACCTGCTCCCTCACTACTCAAATCACCACTCCCTCCGTCATCCGTTCCGGGCTTGCGCGGTCTGCTACTGTCCCAAGTCTATATCTACAGTCTACGTGGCCTGTCGACATGTCACACATCGGTGACGACTCAAATGCGCCGCGCGCGCATGACAAGATCCATGCAGATCGTGCAAGTACCACGTGTGCGAGGCTTCAAAGTCAAAGCACGTAAGGGCTAGGCTACACGAACGAACGTTGCCATTCCATATTTCAGTGGAATATTTTTCTTTCAGAATTTGTTCTCGGACTTCGAAACTCGTGCTTCCTGGGTATCCTTGACTGTAATACTCGCACCTAATGTACAAACTACAGTGCGTTTCAAAAGTCCAGACCTCTGGTTTCAAACATCCGTTAGGCCAGCATCTATACCACATAAAATCTGTGATCACTGAAATGCACTATGTAGACGAGGGGATTGATTGCGGTGTGACGGTAGACAAGGGGATGAACAGCAGTGAGGATGTTGAGGCGGATGGTGAGGATGATGAGGCAGAGGGTGAGGAGTTAGGCAGGTAGTAAGGCAATGAAGGAGATGATTGTGGTATTATGTAGTAGCCAGCTGTGTACCTGCATTCGTTATCTCATCCAGATTGTTTGAGTGTGTTTTTGGATTGGATCTAGAAAAATGATACTGGAAAT